CCCCATCCCTTCCTGCTGCTCCCCCTCCTCCCTCACCTTCCCCAGAGGAGGAGAAGACACCACGCCGATGCTGCTACCCTTTCCCCGTCGCCACGGCTGGACTCGCCTCGGAGTCCTGGTCAAAGCGCGTCCTGGGAGAGGTCAGCGGAGTAGCGGTACGGGTATATGTTTGTTTCCTCACCTCCTCCCCCCTCCTCATCCTCATCCTCCTCTTGCCTCTATATTTTCCGGTATGAATACTACTCTCCTCTCTCTCCCCCGAAGGTGGCCGAGGAGTCGCCCGCCTCTGCGCCTCCCTTCGCGCATGTTGTTCTTTGCACCGGGTTTCAACAATTGCTTTCGGCCTATGGCTTTGGTCTACAACCCGCTCGCTTTCGGTCCTTCAGAACGGTGTTGCCACTGTTCCGGACCCGAGTCCTTCCTCATCGTTGTCGCCCCCCTCCTGTCCACTCCTCCGCCTTCCCCTGGTCTTCTTGCTCCTGCCGCTCCCTCCACTCCAGCTCCTGATGCTGGTCTTCGTCCTCGTCCTCCTCCTTTCTCCTCCTCCTCCTCCTCCTCCTCCTCCTCCTCCTCTTCCTCCTCCTCCTGCTCACCCTCCTACTCCTCCTCCTCTTCCTCCTCCTGCTCACCCTCCTCCTCCTCCTCCTCTTCCTCCTGCTCATCCTCCTGCTCATCCGCCACCTCCTCCTCCAATGTGCGCAGCTGCCCTATTCCGATTGCCCATAGCACGATGAGGTCCTTCTCGGAATGCCAGGTCCGCTATGGCACGCGTCGGAGGATTGAGAACATCTCAGCGCCTTGGGAAGGAATGGGCAGGAGGGGTAGCATGTCAGATACGGCGCGAGCGCTCCCAGCTTGCCTCTTCCTCTCGTTCTCTCTCTCTCTCTCTCTCAGCATGTCTCTCTCTCTCTCTCTCCCCCTCCCTCCCTCTCTCTCTCTCTCTCGTTATTTATTCGTATTTGCTTTGCATCTCTCTCTCTCTCTTCCCCTACTTCTCTATGTCTTTCTCTTGTTGTTGTTCTCTGTCTCCCTCTCTTTGTTTCTCTCTCTCTCTCTCTTGTCGCTCTCTCTCTCTCTCTCTCTTCCTCCCTCCCTCTCACCCGACGCAGGGGGAACGGGGCAGGAGGCTTCACCCACACGAGGGGCCCCAGCGTGGCCCCCGCGGGGACAGCTCGATGGGGGAGCTCCCGTGCGCCACCTCTGCCCGTAGAGGCCATCGCTTGGAGCACGGCGGGCTGCCACGCAGGCCCCTCCCTCTCCTCGTCCCCCTTCCCCTTTCTCCCCCTTCCCTCCCCTCCCCTCCCCTCCCCTCCCCCTATACAACTACGCATTGTTCATTTCAAATGCTTCGAAAACTCTTTGATTTCTGTTGGGGGCCAAGATCCTTTCAGTTCTAATTGTTCTATCCTGGGCCTCTTCCCGGCCACTAGGGGGCCAGGAACGATTAGAGACGAGCACACTTAGAGATGAGCACGATTAGAAATGAACGACGTGTACGATCTGTGCATGCTAGTCTCCTCTCTCCCCTCTGTGCTGCCTGGACCTGCACGTTTCTTTTGGTAGCAGCGTGTGTGTGTGTGTGTGTGTGTGTGATCGGCCGCAGCTCGGGATTGGCGCTTGCCCCCCCCCCCCCCCCGGTGCAGTACGGCGTTCTCGCTCCCCCTCTGCTCGGGCCACGCTTCTGGATCCCAGTCTCTCGTCGCTGCAGTCCCCCTTATGAGGTGCCACTCTTCCGCCTCCCCCTGGGACCCCCCTGCGCCCCCCTGCTCCTCCTGCTCCTCCTGCCCCATGCTGCTACTGATCCTCCGCCTTCTCCCTTGTTCTCCTCCTCCTCCTCCTCCTCCCCCGTTTCTCCTGCAACATCAGACATGCAGCACATCGCCGAGTCTGCGTCATATTATTAGTCGTGGTCGTCCACTTCTTAGTATTAGTCTTAGCATTCGTCTTCTTAGTGTTTTTTTTGTCACCGTGCCACTAGTCGTAGTATTATTCCTCAGTCGTTTCCTCCTCCTCCTCTCCTTCTGCGTCTCATGTTCAACCGCCTGCTGTTGCTGCTTCTCCTCGTACAATGACCCCCTTCTGTTTGCGCGTCGCACGGTGGGACCACGTTGGACATCCATGTTATTTCGGACACCCCAGTCCTCGGATATAACATATTTCAGCGGATTGGGAAGGACGTGGTGGAAGGGGTAGGTTGCCAGGTATGGCGCGAGCGCACCTGGCTTGTCATGCCCCGCCTCTCCTCTGTCCCCCCCTCTCTCACTTCCTGCTTCGAATGCCAGCTCTCTTACGCAGCCGATTCGGCCCAAGCGCCTTGCCCATTGTCGTTGGATTTGCGCGCGTCCAGCGGAATGGAAACGTCAGTTGCGGCAGCGCTGTGGAACACCGCGCGGTCGCGCAGGCTGCCACGGAACTAGCTCTTGCTGCTCCTCTGTGCACTTTGCGCCTCGTTGTCATTGTCGTCGTCCTCCTCCTCCTCCTCCTCCTCCTCTTCCTCCTTACCCTCCTCCTTACCCTCCTCCTTCTTCCTTCCTCACGTGTTCTTTCTCTTCCCGTCTTCTCCACATCCTCCTCCTCCTCCTCCTCCTCCTCCTCCTCCCTCCTCCTGTCCCCCAGTCCTCCCTCCTCCTCCCCTGCGTTTCCCCCCTCGTTATGTTGCCCTTCCCCATCTCGTCTCCTTTGTCCTCGCTGGCGTCGTCGTACCCCCCCCCCCAAGCGCTCGCCGAGGCTGGCGCGGGACTGCCTCCTGCACCCCTTCGTGCAGGGGCTGGCTGCTGGAACGCTGCCCGCCGACGCATTCAAGCGCTACGTGGCGCAGGATGCGAGGAGAAGGGGGGGGGAGGAGGAGGAGGAGGAGGAGGAGGAGGAGGAGGAGGAGGAGGAGGAGGAGTAGGAGGGGGAGGAGGAGGAGGAGGAGGAGGAGGAGGAGGAGGAGGAGGAGGAGGAGGAGGAGGAGCAGGAGCAGGAGCAGGAGCAGGAGGAGGAGGAGGAGGAGGAGTGTGCAGGAGGCTCAGAGGACGGACATAACAGAGAAGAGCACAGCGGGACAATGCAGCGAGAGTTTTTTTTATCAGCACGCCGCGCACCAGGTTTCAGCGATGGCGCGAACGACTGAGCCAGTACTGTGGGCACGGTTGTGCACATGCTGGGACGCAGGCCCCCACCTTCGGAACGGTCTCCCCGCCGCCCTCCAAGGCACGGCCATCCCCACCGCGTTGAGTGGCTCGGGGCGGCGCATCCAGGAAAGGACAGCCGCTCTTTCGTCGCAGAGCTCGAAGGGCGGGAGCCTTGGAAGCTTGTGCAAAGCCGCGTGTCTCTTTTGCACGGCCGCTGCTGGGATGAGGCCGAACCGGGCCAGACGGGGAAGACACGGGAGGGCGAGCGCGCGGTGCAGTCGCAGGCAGGCGTCGGCGGGAGCACGCGCCAGGGCAGGGGCCCTGCACCGAGCCCACCACCTCGGAGCACGGGGCAAGCAATCTGATCCTGCCCAGCCTTGTGGAGGACGATCAATGGAGAGGAAGCATGTTGCCAAATACTTTCCAGATGTCTAGAACGTGTGTTAAAGCTGTTTTTACAATGTTAAAAAACATGTTTTAACCATTTCCAGGACATGTTCCGACATTTTAAGCACATGTTTAATTCGATGATAGG